GTGACTTGTTCCCATACTCTTAGGGACCCAGAGTGCCAACTTATCTGCCTGATTTATTAAACAAAAATTTTTATTCGAAAATATTCTATATCTTTGTTAGCGAAACTGTACACCAAATAAGCCACACAATCACTTGAATTTATTAACTGTTAAACGGATTTTAAGAATTTAATCCTTCATTACTTTTCTCGCATATTTATACCTGTTCTAAGACGCTTAACTTTGGGAAGAAATGTATCTTTGCTAAAATAGAAATTCAGAAGATAACCTCTGACCCTAAAATTTAGGATGTTAAACATGCAGTCACCGATGACTAAATATAACCAAAACGTAAGTTTCAGACTGCTTTATAGCATATACATTTAATTTAACACGCAATTGTTTAAAAGTCATCAAAAATTAAAGCCTTATTAACTAATTTCCTCTTTAAGCCACATATCGTTATTCGAATGACGACATGAAATATTACACTGGCACTTACTGCATAACTTTTGGAATATCTACGTGACAAATCAACGAGAATTTTTAACATATTTTTGAACTTACATGAGTTTTTCCGCTAAATGGAAACAGATTGATAAGGGGCAATGAATAAAAAATCTTTACCAAAGACTTTCCTCGTTCGATGACTCTCTTCGGAATGACGGACGATAATATTTTGTTAAGCGGAATTAACGTAACCCGGTGCTCCAACTGCCCTTTTTTCAACAAGAGCTTTCCGGTCTCCGCCGTATCGATCACGACATTGTAAAGCTATAAGTAACAAGTCGGTCAGCAGTGTTAAATGATGATAAAATAATTGGTTGAATTTACTAAAACAGATTCATCGTTTAAACAGATGTGACACTGTACAGGGACGACAGGCAAAAAGCAAAAGTAAGTGAAAGGTGAAAGGCAAAAGTAAGTGTTAAACGACTGTACGCAACTGAATGCCTGACGCAGTGGCACTTAAAGTTAAAGCATATGAGACTGTCGCACTGTCAATGCACTGAATCCATTGCAAAAGCTACTGAGGCTTAATTATTACAACTGAAAACTAATTAGTCCTGAAGGCTGAGTTCCTTCGTCTTCCCACAATCGCAAACAGAAATAGCATCGTTCACTCATAATCATTAGAGGACAAAAATACAGATTAATTTCGAAAAATGTTTTCCAAAGATGCATTTAAAGCAAGTTATTTTAAGACCTGGATCAAAACAATAAGCAATGAATTGAAAAGATTTTGTGGGCAACAGAAGATACTTAAGGAATTTTATATCTCCCATACCGTGTTGTGGTCAAAGAGTGCGGCGAAACTAAAACAATAAAGCAGAAATAGCTGTTCACTGACAATGTCACGTCACTACGCTACTCATGAACAGTTGATCGTCAAGAAAAGTTTTCAGAAGCCTGATTTTATACTATTCAGAGATAATTACTCAACATTTTTTCATAACAATTCAAATTTAAGGTTTACAAGTCGGTAGCTATAATCAATCATGAAGCTTCAACTTACGCCGCCACCTGCTGCCGTCTCGACCGCCGTCGCAAACTTGGGGTCTTTTAACTGTATCAAATCCGCAACGACTCCTTTAACTCTCGAACGATCAAAATTTGGTTCAGGATCGGCGTAGGTAAAACGGACACGAGTTCTAGAATAGTGATAGTTAATGTAGATTAGGCGTATAGATGAATGGAATATTCGAAATGCAGAAATATTCATTCTGATTACGGCTAGCAACATGTGACACAGCAAACTATTTTATTTAACAAAAGTTCGAAATTTTCGAATTTGCCTCGGTTCTCCTCAAAAAACAGAAAAACCTAGTTGCATTAGGCAACTGCTGTCTGATCGAATTCACAAAATGTTCTGCTACTTGTTACTGAAACAGTAAATTAATCCTCACTTCGCGAACATGTGACTCACGCTAACGTCTCGGTTTAAAATTCTGTTCACTGCAGCGAAAAGTGATTTTTTGATTAATAGCTGTTTTATCACAGTGTTTATGAAAGACTATGAAGGTCATCACCACCTATAATGGGCAACATATACAAAACATCTAGTGTTATGGCTGCAAATGGCGCTCTTGTTTTCAGCGATTCCACAATAACCAATAAGTCTTTACGATATAAATGATGTCATGGTTGATGTGTGAATACCATATTTCTGCAGTTCATGTGCAGAGACGAAGATTAAGTTTCCACAGACCATTCTCTGGCAATGAAAAGAACGATTTTATGAAAATTGGGTAGGGGCAACATCTTATCAAATTTAGTGTATAACATGTTTCACTTTCTGCCCTAGCGTTTCTGTCAACGATGTAATCAAAAGAAGTGTTGGATTTCAGTTATACAACAAAATACCGGTACAAGTTTATGAAGTTCATGAATAAGGTAGTAGCACAGTACGACAAATACAGCCTGAGTACTATTTTTGGTGCACGATCATGGTTTCTTCTTTTATCAGCATCTATCAAATTAAAGCAACAAATAATGGGGCGACAGTACGTGACTGTCAAGAGGTAACCGTTACATACATGAACATTGTTACCTATGTTCATAACGTTGGGTCTTGCGCGGTTTAACAGTCATTCAGCAAACAACTATTCGCTTGTAACTTGTAAACCGCTCCAACTATGGCTGGGTCAGAGAAGTTAATAGTAGCAAATACAGGTAAAAACGACATGAGCGTATAGGTATAGCAAATTTAACGTGAGTGCAAAATATGACATACCTTGACTCTGCATCTTGAACATAAGACCGAAGACAATAAAACTCTTTTTTCAATAGATTTTTTACAGAAACCAGTTGCTGTTCGACATTCTGATTATAATTCATTTTTTCCATATCTTTCTAAAAAAAAGATTTTAAAAATTGAGTAGATGCAAGAGAGGTACAAATCAAACTCTATCGGATAAGACCTAATTAGAAGAAAAATTATCTGAAAAAATGCCAACTGCGAGACAAATACAATGGCATTCACACAGCAGACCTGAATATCAAACTTTCTATTGCAAAACCATATGCTAAGTTGGAAGTTACATTCAGTTTTCATTCATCTTATATCGCCGCCGCCGTTTCTCTTTTCGGGTCGCGGAGGCAGACGCGTCACACAGAGCTTCCAACATCCCCGATCCTGTAAAAGAGTCTGAGCATAGGCAAAAGACAACTGAAGTCTGTAACAGACTCCTTCCAAATATTTGAACTAGGTTAATCCTGGCCGTCAAGTGGGCCTTCTGCCGGTCGGTTTCGGAAGAAAAACTTGCTTAGCCTTCATTTCTGAAGGCATTCGCAACAAATGCCCAAAGCATAGCAGCTGTGACTTTTCAGTCTGGAGAAGCAGAGGCTGTA